TTTATTGTAATAATATTTTTGAGGACAACCCAGATCCTCTGCTTATTAGCTGTGTGTCCTTCTTTGGGTAAGTTAACCCCTTCATACCTCAGTTTTCTCATCTGTAGGATGAAGGCAGTAATTGTACTCGTCTCTTAAGGTTATAAGGATTACATGAATTAATTTATGTAGAGTACTTGGCACCTAGTAAACTCTCCATTAAGTATTAGTGGCTGTAATTATTGTTACTTCTGTTTTTAACTCCTTAACACACTGTACTTTATATGATGACCTGACCCATGGAACAAATTTTTCTGTATCTCGTCATTAAAAATTAAGGTGCTGCTTCTTTTTTTGGTGTCAATGCTGTGCTTATTATGACTTACATAACTTGTTTTATGTTACTCTTTTTTGTGTGTTAGTAAAAAGATTAGATTCACATTTTAAATTCTTCTTATAATACATATTTTATGTATTATCTTTACCTTTCTTCATTTCATCTTCCCTTGTTTAGTTGTCTTTCTCCACTTATTTCAAATTTTATAATGTTATACTATACATATTTTTGCAAGCCAACTCAAATACTTCCTGAAATTCTTCTGGGTTCATATATGTAGTGGAAAAGTGTATGTTTAATCTAATTAAGGTCATATTCTTAATAGATTTTGATATCCTCCATTTACTATAGTAATATAAATTGTCCACAAGAAAAATTATATATGCTTTATGCTGAAAAATTTTACTGTCTTATCAATATTCATATTTAAAGAGACGTAGCTCAAATTTCTTTATATGCTAAAAACTCACTATAATATTTTCACTTATCTTTCTGAATGATATTATGCTTTGGAAAACTAATTCTAGCCTTATTCTAGCCCCTTGACACACAAGATGCTTATTGAACTTATCTCATCAAACTAATGACTTAACATCCAGGTTTCTCAAGGAAATGTCAGAAAAATTAGCATGTCATTCAAAGGTACTAAAAACCTGTAAGATATATAATTACTTTAGGCTCAGATCTATGTTTTCTGATACATTTCATGCAGCCATGCTTCTCACTTTAATAGGACTTTTTTTTTCAGTAGGGTTTCTCCATTGCAAATCAAAAGAGCAAAATTACAAAAAATAAAAATAAAGAAAATAAAAGAGCAAAATTCCAAATGTCACTGAATCTTAAGAGATCTTAAGTGAATCTTAAGTGTTTTCCAGGGATCTGAATGAGAAGGTGAGGTGTTCAAGGTTAGACAATGGTAGTGGTAAAGGAACTTGGTTTCATGTCCTGTTGTTTTAAAATTTTTAAGGAAATACAGAAAGAGGAAATGGTTCAAGCTCTATGATATCATTAGTACTATTTTTATTCTCTTAAGTTCAGAAGTTTCATGGATAAGAAAAATATATGCAAAAATTGGGATATTCATCGTTTTTTATTTTTATTAGTGTACTTTCAAAATAATCATATGGAGTATGCACACTCTTTTTTTTAATTTTGCCCCTCCACTTGCTTTAGGGATGCATGTGTAGGCAGGAAGAATAAAGAAATGATATGTTTTTAACAATTTCATGATACAGTGTATGTTAAAATAAATACCGATATTACAACAATTTCACAGTACTAAAATCCAAGTATTCTATAGACGGAGATGCTGTTACTCTATTTTAAAGATTAACTTATTATTGAAATTAATTCATATCACTGACTCTTTCAGACTGTGCTGAAAAAACTCTGTCAATAATTAGGTTTGATTAGGTTCAGTTGCACAGAAGTTCAGTTTTATTTTGGTGTTCTTCACTCCTACACAATCAAAAATAATTTCTGATTTTAATTAATATTATGGAAAGTGGGGGCAATTATCTCCTGAAGGAAAAGCTGGAATCTTCATCTTTTCTTCCCATATAGGAATTTAATTATGAAAACTAGCAGCTTGTATTAAAAGGAATGCTTTTTTCTTTCTCTAAGGAGGGTTTTTATTTTAATGTGAACTCATACTAGAAGTGAAGAATGACTCTTTTTTACCATGAGAGTATGAAAGAGTTTAGGTGGTAAAACTGGACTGAACTAGTCTTATAAGAAATGCCAGGTGTTTTCCATTTTTTATTCCTGTGAAGATTGAAGAAAGGGGGAACATTCCTGCTCTGTAGTTGTAGTTGTCGTTAGCAGCTCTGAGCTCTGTTGATCTGTTAGTCATTGTTGTGTGGCAACAAATAATCATGCTTTACTTCAGTCAGAATAAGGGAATCTCTAACTGCTAGGTTGTAGAAGAGTCGTCCTGTGTCCTGGTTGTCTTTCTCATCATCTTTCCTGGTAAATATTTACTCATTTGGATGAGGCAGCTATTGTGGACAGTGTGTGCATTAACAAGATATGAAAGAATTTTGGAATCATCACCCAGTGAAGTAGTGCTTTCTCGTAGCGTGCGTTAGAACGGTGATTCAGGATGTCTTGGTATGAGAGTAAGGAATTTTCTCTGTTGAAATTTTTTTTGAAATGTTACCAGTTGCTAGCCTCAGCTCCTTGTGAGTCTGAACCTCTCATGCCAGAGTCACATTCCTCATCTTCTTTTCCTGGGCCCACGCAAAGGACTCCAGAGCTAAAGTGGGTCAGGATACCATATATTTTCAGTGTCAAGCTGGCATTTTCAAAATCAACACCCATTCATTTCTTTAAAAATACAATATCAATGGGATACTTTCTTCATGTTACCTCCTCTCTGAATACCAATAGGAATACTTGAAGGAAACAAGGCTTACTCTTCCGTCTTCTTTCTTCCATTTTTTTCACCTTTTAATTTATACTGTTTTGTTATACATCTCATATATCCTCATGTAATCTCATAATTCCTACTAGAATAAGAGAGGGGTATAAACAAATAGGATGAGACCAAATTTCACACTGAGTTAACGTTTCTTTTTTAAAGTAGTGTTTCCCATCTAAGGGATATTTAATTTATCATCTATGTAATTAATGTCTAATAAAATCCAGGTGGTAAGCCCCATCTTGGGTCTATTGAATCCAGATCTTGGGGTGATGGGGCCTATGCTAATGTATTTTCCAAAAGTTCCCCCAGCTATTTCCGGTATATATCTTTGATTTAGAACTGCTGTGTTAAAGCATGTTTTCTGTTTGCTTTATTCTCTAGAACAATATATGATGTAACTCTATAGTGAATATTTTTCTGAAATAATTACTACCAAGAGTTTTCTTTAAATTTACCTGTTTTTATATTATTTAAAAAAGGTTTGTGTGTGTGTATTAGGTTTTTTTTCATAATTTAATTATGAAAATGACCCACAAACATTTATTTTGATTTGTCCTATTTTTCTTGCACAGGGATTCCTTTCCTTTTTTTTTTTTTTTTTTTAAGATTTTATTTATTTATTTGAGAGAGAGAGAGAGCAGGAACAGGGGGAGCGGCACAAGGTGAGGGAGAAGTAGACTCCCCACTGACCAGGGAGCCCAAGGTGGGGCTTGATCCCAGGACCCCAGGATCATGACCTAAGCCGAAGGCAGAGGCTTAACCAACTGAGCCACCCAGGTGCCCCTCTTTTCCTGTTCTTATATTGCATACCCATGAATAGGAATGAGCTCATTCTCACCATAAACCATCTCAGTAAACACTGATGATGGTGCTCAATTTAGTATTGCAACTATCATTGGCAGCTTAGAATGCCATGCTCATATAGTTTGCATAGAATTTAAAGTTCATAGTTTAAAAATTAAAATTAATGAGTTAAGCCAAATTTTGATAATGTGTCAAAGCCAGACTTTTAGGGCTATGGGGATCTGGTGAGTTTGAATGTTACTATTCTCAAGTGTCTTTATGATTCAGTATAAGCCTATTCATACTTCCTAAGTCAGTACTTTTTTGATAGTGAGAAAATTGAAATAATTAAGACCTATATTTTAATCTTGGTTTCAGTGTAGATCTGTTGCCATTGTGAATATAAGCAAATTTTTTAGTTTTCTGTCTTCTTAAAACTGCAGTTGGATATCAAAGAATTTACAAAAGACTAAAGTTTTGAATAAAATTGATTGTAGAAGTTGAAATTTTGTTTGATATAAGTTGCACAAAAGTTATCTGAAGCTGATAACAGAAAACAAACTATTGTCTTCATCATTAATACATGTAAGAAAAAGTTGTTGATATTATATGGCACCCCAAATTTTAAAAAATGGACATTTTATGCCACTGCTATTAATAGTTTGCTTAAATCTGTCACACTGTCTTAGCGCTAGTGCATTGTGTTTGTGCTTTAAAAAATTGCTTATAGGGCTTCTGGATGCCTCAGTCGATTAAGTGTCTGCCTTTGCTCAGGTCATGATCCTAGGGACCTGGGATCGAGTCCCACGGCGGGCTCCCTCTCCCACTTCCCCTGCTTGTGTTCTCTCTCTCTCTCTGTCAAATAAATAAATCCTTTTTAAAAATTGCTTATAACTGCCATGCTGTTGTTTGTCAATTCCTGTACCTCATCTGATGACTATCCTCCTCAGTTTCCTCCATTTTCAAACCTCTTTAAATAGACTGAGTCACTGTGATGGGTCCCTAGCATGGCCTTTCAGGAGAACTCAGCTGCAAGAAAATGGCTCGGGATTGAAAAGCATCTCTTCCCATTGAGTTTGTATGGCCTCTAATTCTTAAAAAGGAATCCACACATTTTGGTCCCCGCAAAAATAAAGCTGATTGAATTAAATTTCATTACAGTCAAGTGGCAATGACTGCCATCATCTGTATAGATATCAAATGAACATTTTAAGGGAGAGGGAAAATGCTAAATAAAAAAGGGGGGGAGAAAAGCCCTCACTCTTACTGTAGTATGTGGATGAGTAACATGAAAAACTTCAAATGACCAAGAAAAGCTTTTGAATGTTTTTCTTTTTAGTGGATTGGAGAAGATGACTTCCCAGTTATTATATGGAATGTTATGTTCAGAGTGGTAACTATAAAGCTAAATAAGCTTCCATCCATCTCTTAAAAATTAATCCTGCATTTTCTGTGGTGGGTGGTGGGGCTTGGTTTCAGGATATGACTGCACGTGACCTGCTACAACAGAGATACACTCTTCCCAACGGAGACACTGCGTGGCGGTCCTCACCCCTTGTGAACGCTGCTCTGGAAGGAAAGCTTGTCCTCTTGGATGGCATCCACCGCGTCAATGTGGGCACACTTGCTGTATTGCAAAGGTTTGTATGAGTCACACACACACACAGAAACACTCCATGTAAACAGTAGACGTGGAACTCTATCGTCGTCTTTTTTAAACTGGGTCCTGTAGATCGTGAGAAACTTACTTCTGTATCCAGCCAGAACAGAGATTTTTATCTTTGTAAACACAGGACAGTAAAACTTCCAATACTGAACATTTTGGGAAAAAAACAATGCCATGGCAAAATTCTCTGGGTAAGAGTTGAAAAAAGAAAACTTTTAGGTAAAAATTTTGAAAGACTTCATATATGCTTATTGATACATACAGTAAGTCATGCAGCTCACGTTTCTTATGATCTGTTAGTCACAGCATCACTGTTTACAAACACCTTATGAATCATAGATCTAAATTATTGGTTAATTCTGTTGGATTTTTTGAGAGAGAAATTATGGTTCCTTATATAAAATGCGTAATGGAGGGGTGCCTGGGTGGCTCAGTCATTTAAGCGTCTGCCTTCGGGTCAGGTCATGATCCCAGGGTCCTGGGATCGAGCCCCACGTCAGGCTCCCTGCGCAGTGAAGAACCTGCTTCTCGCTCTCTCTCAGTCCCTTCCCCTCCACTCATGCTCCCTCTCTCTATCTAATAAATAAATAAAATCTTTAAAAAAATAGAATGTGTAATGGATGTTTGATGATATTTTATATAGACTAAACTCACGTTGTGTTTACAACCTCGAACATTGTGTAACTGTTGTTTCCTTATTTCAGTTTGGGTGGGGAAAACATTCCTAATTAACTTCTCTAGAATGTAATGTTAAGAGAAAATTTCATGTGTAACTTTCATGGAAAGTATTTCCATCCTGTGTCATTTTGGAAGATTAATGATACCAATTTTTTATTTGTTCTGTCTTGATTCTGTCACTTCTAGACGTTTGATTTCTAACTATGGAATAATCCATTTTCCCAACCAGCTATTCAGAGTTTCTTGTCCTTGACAAGATGCAGATACTGAGTATAATTAAAAATTTCAAAAACATTGTGTTAATCCTGATTAGACTTGGGAGCATTTGAAAATAATAACCACAAATTTTTAGCGATTTGCCATAAATATTCCATAGATTTAGGGTAGTTTTTTCTTCTAAACAGATAAATACAGACACAACCAGAAATCATCCTTACTGCTCCCCTTTTCTTGGTTACCTCTTGCCTGCTTGGCCAGGCACTTGGGAAAAGGGGCAGCTGTCATTAACTGAGTCCTTACTCTCCGCGGGGCATTGTGCCTGGCCAGTGCTTCTCAGGCTCTCAGCCCTGGCATCACCTTGTGTGGGTAGAGCTTAACAATTACTGATGCCTGAGTTCTGCGTCCCCAAATTCAGATATAAGTGATCCAGGGTGAGGCCTGAACACCAGCCTTTTTAAACCCTTCCCAGAAGGTTCTAATGTGCTGCCAAGATTGAGAACAACTACAGTAAGCATCTGCCTTGCATTAGATGTTTAATTTTCACAGCAGTACTATGAGGTTGGTATGAGTGCCCTGATTTTATAACAGAGAAAAGTTTAGAGAGATGGAGGAGTAGTGCTCCCCCCTGCCCCAGTCGTTCAGCTGATAAGGTACAGAGCTGGATTTGAACACAGATCTGACTTCTCCACTGCCCATGCTCCTAACCCTTGCATTATGCAGTTTCCCCTCACCTCAGTGCTTGCCGAGTGCAGGTCATGTGGGGCAACTGTGATGTGGGCATCCGGAGACTTGAGCGGTTGGTGTAAAATCTAGCAGTAGTGCTTTTCAACCCCTGCAGCATCTGGAAGATGATGCTGTTTGTGCTGTGGACTGTTAGGTCACCATCAGAGTTAGTATATGAAATAGCACCAGTTATTTCATTATACAGATTTTTGATGTTTTAAATCCTGTAATTCCAAAGACAGAAATACATGGATAATACTGTCCCTTAAAGAGTTACCTTAGACTCTGAGTATGTACCACCTGCCTTGTTCATTAATATGCACCTCATGGTTATCCTCAGTCACCCATTCAGCTGCTGCTTTTCATCTCCTTCCTCCGTTCCCTTTCCAACCCCTCCTCCTCATCCTTCTCCTCCCCGCTGTCCGCATCTAGTAACCATGACTACTGCTCTCCAGTACAGAAACCAATAGTTTTGCCAAGTATGATAGCACTAGCCAACTTGAAATTGCAAAAGGTCCATCTAACAAAATTGTTAGACTCAATCGCCCAGAATAATAGACAGGATTAAAATGTTAACCGATTCCACCTCCAGTGACTTAAACGTTCAAAACCGATGAAGTTGTTCCCTGACTTTCCCCTGTCCCTTAGGTTGATCCACGACCGGGAGCTAAGCCTCTACGACGGCTCTAGGCTGCTGAAAGAAGACAGGTATACGCGCTTAAAGGAAGAGTTGCAACTGTCTGATGAGCAGCTACAGCAGAGGTAATGTTGGGCGCCCTGCTCTCATTCTTGTGGTCACTTGTGCCCTCTTGTTATTCTGAACCTAGGGTCAAGCCAAGCTAACTTTGAATCCCTTAATAATTTGGTGTCCTGAGCATACTCATAATCTGGCATTTCCTACAACTTGAGCTTGCTATCCAAGATGTGCTCTGCACTCTCAGCCTTACTTTCACATACATGTTTCAATAACAACTTCATAAGAACATTAGCTCTGATAAGGTAATCCTCCGGGTTGTCATAGCAACCCAGTTTTGGCCCCATACTTTGTATCCCTTTGGAGGGGGGGAAAGCCTCATAATTTACTGGGCCCTCCATCCTAGGAAGCAGTCAGTTATTATGGAGGTAAGCCACCTGATGCAGGATTACCCTTTGTGGCTTACTTACATATTCCTCCCAGAAATGTCCGAACCAAATGCTTGGATCCTGGATTGGGAAATCAAATGGAAACAGCTAGAAAAGATACTTTGGGACAATTGGGAAAGTTTAAATGTGGAATATATATATTACATGATATTGAGTTAATATTCTTAGGTATCATAATGGTATTCTGGTTTTGAAGGAGAATATTCCTGTTCTTAGGAAATGCACACTGAGATATTTAAGGGATGATGTAAAAAGAGGTCAACGACTCCCTTCCAGATGTTTCAGGGGAAAAGACACGTACGTGTGTGTATATGTACGCACACAGAGGAAGAGCAAGTGGGAATGAGAACACAAGGTGGTAAAATCTTTTTTTTTTTTTTTAAGATTTTATTTATTTATTTGACAGAGAGACAGTAAGAGAGGGAACACAGCAGGGGGAGTGGGAGAGGGAGAAGCAGGCTTCCCGCAGAGCAGGGAGCCCGATCCCAGGGTCCTGGGATCATGACCTGAGCCAAAGGCAGACGCTTAACAACTGAGCCACCCAGGCGCCCCCAAGGTGGTAAAATCTTAATAGTTGGCGAAATCTAGGTGAAGGAGATAACAGGTGTTCATATTCTATTCCTTCAAATTTTTGATGTGTTTGAAAAATTGCAAAAGATTTCTTCTAGCTAAATACTACTTTCCTTTAGAGGACGTTTGGCAAATGTAAGTTTTCTGTCTCCTTACATTTCCATGGATATTTTGACATAACTAGAGATTGTTACCTTGGCAAATACCTAGTCACTTAATTGAATCTTATTTAATTGAAGCTTCCCCTCCCCGCACTGGCTTGCTGACATATTTAACACATTAAAATTTTACAAATGATATTTAAGTGTATTTCTTACTGTGTTTCTGTTTTAAGGAGAGTTTAAAAATTTCCTTGGAATTTTTTTATAGAGAGGAAATATTAAATTCCTTACTACCTCTGTATAAGTTATTTAAAAAATTCACTTGATTATACACAGCTGGGATCCACATCATCAAATTCATCTAGCCCAGTAAATAGTTTGGTTGAGTATCTAGGGAGGGAAGTTATCAAGATCCCTCTCATTTCATACCTTTAGTTTATAACAGTCAGCTTTTGTACATTATTTGAGTGTGAACCACACATCAGAGAACAGTTTATATTTTCAGGGAGATGAATCAAAGCAGTTGGGCAGTAGCTCTGAGCAAGTCTGCTTGTCAGGCTCCTTTAGGACCTCAGGAGCATTGTATTTGTAGTCCAGTGTCCAGGAAATGACAGCCCTCTTCCCTGAGAAGTACCCAAGTTCTCCCTAATGGTCACAAGAGGTTTTACAAATGAAAACAATTTCAGGAACATAGTGGCCCTAAACATTGTGTTGAGGTTTTGGCTCACACTGGTTAGTAGTACTTCCTTCTCAAAGTGTCCCATCTTCATCACTATTGATATTCATCACTCGCATGAATACAAACCAGGCTCAGTTCTATTTCTAGAGGTCACTCTGAGGAGATAGAAACAAGTCATAAGAGCATTGCTTGGTTTCCTTCACTTATTTTTAATTTTTTTTAATTTTATGTCATTGTTAAACATTTATGAAACTTGAGCAAGGTAGCTTTTTCAAGACTTTTTATGAAAAATACCAGTCCACTGTCATCTGTCCTCAGACACTTTCCCATTTCCCAAAGCCCAGAGACTACTCCTTTCAACTTCGAGCTGTTGTTTTTTTTTCCCCAGGTACTTACCTCTGTATCACTAAATAATATATATATATTTTTTTAAGAATAGTTGACATACAATGCTACATTAGTTTCAGGTGTCCAACATAGTGATTCAACAAGTTTATACATTATGCTATGCTCACCACAAGTGTAGCTACCCTGTCCCCGTACATCACTACTGCAATATCATAATATGCTTTCATTGGTATTTCTTGATTTATTTTTCAGTGTTAGGCATTATTGATTGATTTCTTCCTATGGAAAGTTAAGGTTTAGCTCTTTTTACCACTTCTCTTCCCGCTACATATACATCCTTCCCATCTCTCATTCTTCCTAAGTAGTTACGGAATAATTTTCTTTGGAACCTCACTCAACATCTGCATGATTATCACAGCATAAGGACTGTACAACAGCTGAGTCATTTGGTAAACTACAGTTGTTTTTCCTTTCTTGCATACGTTTTGTTTTTCCTAAAGTTAATGAATGCATATATATGAAGAGAGCCAGATACAGAGATAAATAATTACAATGCAGCTTTTAAATGTTAGAACAGAGATCTATCTCCGCAATAATGCTGTGGGAACACAGAAGACAAAGTGACCCTGTTTTCTATGTATTTATCACTTTTCCATCCCAGACGCTTCCCCTCTTGTATAAATCTCCTCTCAGCATGTTGAGGCACATGAGACTTTTATCAGGTTCATCTTTGTCCCATAGTGCATTCTGACAGCCCTGATCTGGACCTGTTGCCCTTCATACTTGTAGCTCACATGTCATGATAGATCTCTGTCCACTCCCACTTTCCCATTTCCTCTGGTCTCTCTGCAACTTTCGTCAGTTAGATGTTGAACCTCCTGGGCTGGCCTTCTAATTTTCTGTTCTTTCTTACGATCTGTCCATTTGTCAGGTCTTCGCTGGCTTCCCAGAGGCAAGATGTCCAACAGTTGATTCTCCTCTGTCTGAAATATTTCTGCCAGTTGAAAGTCAAATTCCTTTATCAGTATTCCTCTTCCTTTTGCCTGAGAAACACACTATTTTCTTAGGATTGTAAACAGTTTTTCTCTATTTCGTTGCTAAACAGTCATGTTACAGACTCTACTTCACTCTGATGAGATGGATTCTTAGTAAATTTATCTTTTCCTGGCTAAACTTGATTTAATTTTGTGGCCCATTTTTGACTTTCCGAGAATAAATATGTTCTCTTTTAGGGTTATAATAGGTTATAATAGGGTGGAATATAGTAAATTTATGCCAGTTGACAGTATTTCTTTCAGGGCTGTGTTTATTAGGTAGAGAGCTGACAGGCTGACCAGAAGGACATAGCATAGCATAAAGTGGGAAATTTGTACTCATTGAGGAAGTTAATTTTTCATGACTTGTTCTTATAAGTAATATGACCCATTATCTAACATGGGTTGATCCTATATGCTGTGCATGTCTAATATGCCACTCTTGGCATTAGCATTTGAACTATAAATTAGAAACTCATCATCTGAATCACCTATCCTTTCATTTCTAAGCACAGAATTGAAGTTCAGCAAAATGATTATTTCTGATAGTCTTTAAACAAACTCAGCTATTAATGCTTTGTTTCCTTGGGGAATTTTGAGATAGAGGAAAAAGTCAAAGTTAGAAAGAAGGGAAAGCAGATTTAAGAGCGTCCTTGTCTCTAGACCCAGTTTGGTAAATTTTGATACCTGCTTGTTTTCAGATAGGACCAGTTACCATATTTATGTCTAGCAGGACTCCTTTAGTTACAAGTAACCAAAAAAACGTTAAATTGTTGCAAAAGGAACTTAAGGGTATTTCACATGGTCAGAGGAGAGGCAAGGATGCAGTTGGGTGTCAGGAAATGACTGGAACTTAAGACTTTATTTTTTTTTAATTTTTTAAAAAATTTATTTAATTGACACAGAGGAGAGAGAGACAGCGAGAGAGGGA